ACAGGGGTTGGCAAACTTTAGAAAATGCTAGATTATGCCCTAGCTGGTTGGGCTCAGTGAATAGGGCATTGGCCTACAGACTGAAGGGTCCCGGATTCGATCCCTGGCCCTGGACGGGGAGCACATAAGAGGCAATCAATTGATGTGTCTCTCTTGCATCGATGTTTCTCTCTCTGTGTCTCTCCTCCTGCCTTCCACTCTCGCTAAAAATCAATGGGAAAAAAGTCCCCGGGTGAGGATTAACAACATAAAATAAAAATGCTAGAGTGTCAACATGTTTGGTTTCGCCGGCTACGCGATCTCTATCGCAAGTGCTCGATGCTACCATTGTAGCACAGAAGCAGCTGCAGACAGGATGTGACTTAAAGAGCAGGGCTGTGTTCCAATAAAACTTTATTTATAAAAGCAGGTGGTGGGCCACTAGTTGCTGACCCCTCGACTAGGCTGCCCCTCAGGAAAGAGGGGAGGCCAGGTCGTCTACCATATCTCAGACGACTGAAAGCTTCCGGGCAAAGGGCCTGCCCAGCCAGGCTGATCTGCTCTGGTGGGAGGCTGACCTGCTCAGGGGGGAGGAGGCTGACCTGCTCAGGGGGGAGGAGGCTGACCTGCTCAGCGGGGAGGAGGCTGACCTGCTCAGGTAGAAGGCGAAGAGGTTCTCAGACAGGAGGCCTTGCTTCCACAGGCTGTCGAAGACCGGGGTGGTGTGTTTGAAGGCCACGGTGGGGTAGGCCAGGCCCAAGATGCCGTCGAAGGCCCCTAACTCCAAGGTAATGCCAGACTCTGTCGTGCTCAGGCCGAATGCCTGGGATTTGCAGACAAGGTTCCTGATCTGGGGGGAGAGGGTGGCCTCATGGGAAGGTTTGGGAAGCGGAGGTGGGGCTGGGCTGGGGGGAGGTGGGTGGGGCGATGCCACCAGCACCCCAGGGATCAGCTGAGGTGTGGCTGCGCCTGGAGGTGCCCAAGCAGCACCCACTGTGCTTTGCCGAGGAGTCCCCCCGACACCCGCCCTCCTGCTAGCACCACCCCGGGTGGTGAAACAGCCTCATCCCTCTGTATGGCTGGGGCGCCTGGGGCAGAGTGGGCCAGGCGGTTCCCCTGCAGGCCCCGTGAGCAGAGAGCGGGGTCGTCTTGTGTTTGGTGTTTCTGGGATCTGGTGGCAGAAACCCAGTGAATTCCCTGCGATTCCCTGTGGATTCTGCACCCCAGGTGTACACAGGGCCGCCGAGCTCTTGTGAAAAGACTGCATGGAGCCCTGACCTCTTTGCTCAGTGGCTAGAGTGTCAGCCTGTGGACTGAAGGGTCCCGGGTTCAATTCCGGTCAAGGGCACAGGCCAGGGTAGTGGGCTCGATCCATGGGGGGTGTGCAGGAGGCAGTTGATCCATCATGCTCTCTCCTCATTGATGTTTCTATCTCTCTCTCCCTCTCCCTTCCTCTCTGAAATTAATAAAAATATATATTTTTAAAAAATAAATAAAAATGAGTCTTCCTTCAGTTCTCCCTGCTCCCAGCAAAATCAGCCTTCAGCTCACCACAGGGCAAGAGCTGCAAATGCCCGCCTCCCGTGCCATGACCTGCTCGCTGGGTTGGCCACTCGGGGAGCTGTCAGCCGGGCACTGTCTCCCAGAGGCAGACGGCCAGCCGCTGGGGGGCTTGGGGCGATGTGTGCGTCCGGCTGACCCTGCATCTGGCCCCATAAGCAGTGGGCAGAGGTCGCCAGGCCCCGCCCCTCACTCACCCGCACATTGTCATAGCCCAGCAGCCCGGTCATGCTACTGGACAAGTACTCCAGCTTGATGGGCCGGTTCGTGCTCTGGAAGGTGGACGACCGCAGAGGGTCGAAGGTTTTGTGTGTCACTGCAGACGGAGAGCAGGGGTCAGTCAGCTGCCAGAGCCAGGGGGCGGGGGGAAGGGGGTACGGGGTCAGGAGCCACAACAGGGCGCGCGCACTCACAACAGGCGGGACTGGAGCAGTAGATGGAGGGCACCCACAAGTCCGCCGAGCCCGTGTCAAAGATGACCTTGAACTTCTGAGGGGGCGTTCCAATGCCGATGGTGCCAACGTAGTGCAGCTGCCGGCGGGGGAGGGGGGTGAGGCCAGGCCGGGTGCCCGGGTCACACCTGATCCCCAGGTGCCGGCCTTTACCTGGAATCGCTTTCCCACCACCCCACCTCCATGGCCACGGCTCAGGCGGTGCCTTCATTGGAAAAGTTTCCCACTTTCCCCTGCGGCTCTGTGAATCCACAGCCTTCACAGCCCCGCTGGAGTGCTCCCTCCTCCAGGAAGCCCTCCTAGGTCACCCAGGCCCCTGACTCCCAACTCAGCACCGGTTGTGTCACTGTCACACAGTCGGCCCTTTAATTGGCGTTTATCTTCTTGCAGAACAGGCCAGACCCTCTGTGATCCACAACCGTAACCACACTGTTGGTGTGAATAGCCTCCCACGCTGGAGGGGCTCAGGGACTCTGCTGGGGTCATTCTCGGGGCTGCGGAGGCTGAGCGCCCTCTGCCTGGGGCATCCAACTGGAGTCCCCGTCAAGGCAGCGGTTTTGTTCAGAAGGAGCAGAATGTGTCCAACCAGCACCAGGTTCGCAGGTGCCCAGCGCCGGATCCTGGGCACCGAGATGGAGTCTGCCTGCCGCCTGGTCATTGCTGGACCCAGTCACCACAGACCAAGAGCTGAGGGTGCGAGTGCCTTCTCCCCTTTGCTGCCTGCAGGAGCCCCGCCCCCCACACCCTGGCTGCCACCCCTGGGTGGACCCCAGTGCTCGGCCAGCACTAGGGAAGGCTGTGCACTGCCCCCGCCACACTCACGTCTAGGTAGTTCCTCAAGGATTGGACAGTGACACGCGGCTTGCGCAGGAGCTTGTAGGCCTGGCTGTAGGGGTGCCGCTGGAGGTAGTCTCTCAGCAGGTCCCTCTCCCGCAGGCTCTCCCGCATGGACTTGATCTTCGTCAGAGGGATGCTTTCAGTGGGAAAAGACAAGAAATAAGACAGCAGCTCCCCATTTGTAGTTCCATGGGGCCGCCACGCCTGGCCGGTGTGGCTCAGTGGATAGAGTATCCGCCTGGGGACTGAAGGGTCCCGAGTTCGATTCCGATCAAGGGCACGTACCTCAGTTGCACGCTCCTCCCCAGCCCAGTTCCTGGTGGGGGCTCGTGCAGGAGGCAACCCATCGATGTCTTTCTCTCACATCGATGTTTCTCTCTGTCTTTCCCTCTCCCTTCCACTCTCCCTAAAAATCGATGGAAAAATATCCTTGTGTGAGGATTTATAAAAAAAAATAAAATAAAAACTAATTGGAGATGCGGACTTTATGACAGGGAATGATTGCATTCCCTTCTCCCCCCCTGGGCGGTGGAAGGATCAGGGGACAGTGAGAGAGAGGCCGGGGACAGGGGGCCCCATACTCACGTCACCAGGCACTCGGACAGGGCCACCAGGCTGAGGAACCCGATCCACCTCATCGTGCGTTCTCCCCGCGTCACGTCCTCGGAAGGCTCGGGTGTGGAGTGTGCGGGGATGGGCCAGCGCTGCCCATATATACGCTCCGACCTGCGCTTGATCCCCTGGGAGGGCTGCTGATGGCCCCGATAAAAAACTAACCTCCCGATAAGATCTTTATTCCCATCAGAGTTCCGGATTGGGGGGAGAGGGGGAAAGGACTTAGAAAAATTCGGAATACAGAAATCTCTATCGTCATCTCCTCCTTGGGGCATGGCTCGGGGACGAGCCCAAACCACATGAGCTCAGCGAGGTGGGGAGATGCGTGCTGGCTCGGAGGGAAAGCTCGCCAATCGTGTCATAAAGTAAGTGCTGGCGACCACGCTTGGCATCCTTGGTCTCATGTCCTCCTTGTAGCCACCCCGTGAGCTGCGCATTGGGGAGGAGCGTGCTGGGAGGAGTGGGGGTCACCCGGCAGAGGGAAGACAGCGGGGAGCCCCTGGCGTAGGAGTGGCTTTAGGCGATGGGGCAGATGGTTTTGTTTTTGTTTTTAATAAATATTTTTATTGGTTTCACAGAGGAAGGGAGAGGGAGAGAGAGACATGGAAATATCAGTGATGAGAGAGTCATCAATTGGCTTCTTCCTGCCCGCCACCTGGGCATGTGCCCTGACCAGGAATCGCACTGAGACCTCCTGGTCCGTAGTCCGACGCCCAACCACTGGGCCACCAGGGCCGGGCCCAGCGCGGGTTTCCATTGAAGAGCCTGCCCCTCCCAGTTGGTAGCTTCCCCTTATGAGGACCCCGTGGAGCCCACGGAGTCACGTGGCAGCGTCCACCGGGCAGGCCCAGGGCCTCTCCCGCCCATGGGGCAGTCACCCGGCACCTGGTCTGCTACCCCCGTCCCGGCCCCCGGGCAGGAGCGCCAGGCGGTCAGAACCCCGGCCACGGGTGTCGGGTCGTCACTGACAATCCGTGTGGAACAAGCCCAATCTCCTGACCTTGCAGACGGGGAGCGGAGGGCTGGGGGGTATAACTAGCCCACAGCTCACAGCTGAGTTAGCGGCGCCTGGGACCGGCTGTGGTTCTGGGCTGGGAGAGCTCTGTGCAGGGAGAGGCCGGAGAAGGCTGCCACCTCCGGGCAGCTCTCCAGGCTGCAGGGGCCAGAGCTGAAGCCCTCCCCTCCCTCCTGAGTCCCGCCCGCCGTCTCCGGGACCTGTGATCTGACGCTCTATCCACTGAGCCAAACCGGCTGGGGCCACATTTATCACTTTAAGAGTCAGGAATAGGTTCCTTCCTGGTGACAATTTCCCTGATGTTAGAAACTAGGGTGGTCTCCAACTGTTACGAGTACAAATAGATTCCGTGGGAAAATATTTATAGTTAACATAATAATTTATAGCTCAATGTATCTGTCTCTATTTAGATAGATAAATATATCTGTTTTTCAAAGCGGCATTAGCAGCTGAAAAGGTGGGAGAGGAGGTGTGACTATGGTTTCATGTTGCCAAAGAGACATTCAAGGACATGGAGCCAGTTCCCCCAGGGTGAGACCCCCTGGCCTGTGCAGGTAATACCCACCTTGGCCACCAGGGGTCCGCCTTTTGCTGTCTGTTTCCCCCTTGGAATCCATTTGCTCCAGCAGGCAAACCCAGCAAAGACATGGTCCTCTCTCAGTTGGAAACATCTGTCTTTTAAACATATTTTTATTGATTTCAGAGAGGAAGGAAGAAGCATAGAAACAGCAATGATGAGAGAGAATCACTGATCGGCCTCCCGCACGGCCCCCACTGGTGTCATGCCCACAACCCAGGCCTGTGCCCTGACCGGGAATCCAACCATGACCTCCTGGTTCATAGGTCGATGCTCAACCACTGAGCCACCCGGGCTGGGCAGAAGCCGCTGTCTTTTGGAGAATAATGCTGAGCATGTTCCTGATCTTAAAAGCTCTCACTGGAGAAAATAATAAATAACAAAGATGAGAGGAGCAATTGCCCAGGTGCTGCCTCCCGGATATAACTATTGTCATATGTACTCGGGTCTTATTCTGCCCTATTTGTGACGTTAGCAACAATTCATGCTACTATGGGACTGGCCCCGTCCCGAAGGTTTTCTATAGATTAACGCATTGAATCTTCACCGCAGACTGAGAAGGGGGGACAATTTTTCCCGTCCTTCTTTTATAGATAGTATTTGTACAGCCTGATTGATATATATGTGATATCTCATAAATGCCACCGTTTCGGGGATGTAGTTTAGTATGTTTTAGTATATTCATGGAGCTGTACAGCCATCCCATGATTTAATTTTAGAACATTTTTGATCCCTCAAAAAGAAATGCCGTACACATTAATAGTCAACCGTCATTTCCAGCCCTGCCCTTTCCCCAACTAGAAGAGAAGATTCTTTTATTATTAATTAATGAATGAATTGCTTTTTATTGTAGTAAGAACATTTAACATGAGATCTACCCTCGTAACATAATTTTGTCTTATCCTCACCGGAGGATATTTTTTCCATTGATTTTTAGAGAGAGTGGAGGGGAGGGAGGGAGGGAGGGAGGGAGGGGGAGAGTCAGAGAAGCATTGATATGAGAGAAACATCGGTTGGTTCCCTCTCGCACATGCTGGACCGGGGTCGGCGTTGAACCTGCAACTCAGGTACATACTCTAGACTGGGAATTGAACCTGTGGCCCGTCAGTGTGCGGGCCAACACTCCAACCACTGAGCGACACTGGCCAGGACGCAACAACATTTTATTTTATTTATTTTTTTAAAAATATATTTTATTGATTTTTTACAGAGAGGAAGGGAGAGAGATAGAGTGCCAGAAACATCGATGAGAGAGAAACATTGATCAGCTGCCTCCTGCACTTCTCCTACTGGGGATGTGCCCGCAACCCAGGTACATGCCCTTGACCGGAATCGAACCTGGGACCTTTCAGTCTGCAAGCCGACGCTCCATCCACTGAGCCAAACCGGTTTGGGCGCAACAACATTTTAACTGCACAATGGAGTATTATTAACTATAGGCACAAGGTTACGTAACAGACCCCTAAACTTATTCATCTTGCATAACTTGCATTGCTGAAATAGGCCTGTTGAATAGCAACTCCCCACTCCGCTCTCCCCCTAACCCGACAACCACCATGCCGCTTCTGCTTCTGAGTGTGACGAAGTAAGTTACCTCAGAGACGTGGGACCATACAGTACTCATCCCTCGGGCACTGGTCTATTTTACTTCGCCTAAGCCCTCAGGTTTCAGCCTGTGCAAATGGCAGGGTTTTCTTCTCTTTGTGACTGAATAATACCCCACTGCCTGTCGGTACCACGGCTTCTCCATCCGTTCATCGGTCGGTGGACGCTTGCCGGCCTCCACATCTCGCTGTTGTCAATGACGCTGTGATGGGTACGCGGTGCGGCCATCTCTCCGAGACCCTGATTTCAATTCTTTGGGATAAAAATCCAGAAGTGGGGTTGCTGGGTCTTAAAAAAATTCTATTGTTCACTTTCTGAGGAGCCGCCATGCTGTTTCCTACAGTGGCCGCACCACGGGCCACTCACAGAACAGGGCACGGGTTCCAGGTCTCACCAGCCCAGGTGGATGTGTGTGTTCTGCCAGTGGCCACCCTCCCAGGCGTGAAGGGATAGCTCATGGGCGTTTTCATTTGTGTTTTCCTGGTGATTAATGAGGGAGGAGCTATTCTTGTCTCAGAATTACAGAATAGAAAACAGACATCCGAGATGAGCTGGCCTAAGGTCACAGGACTGGTCACAGGCCTGTATTTTTTGAGGCCCTACTATGTGCCTGGTTCGTACACGTCAGAGTTGGGACCTGAACCGGGACCGAGAGCCCCGGGCTGTGCTGGCCTGCCCTATGCTGCCCTGTCTTCCAGGGGCTTCGCAAACCTTTAACCCTGCTGTTTCGGATTCTGCCCTTTTCTCCTAACGTCATGTTACATGATCTCTCATGGCATCCAATGTTCGCAAACACGACTGTGAGGGGTGGTGGAGGCGGTGGGGCAGCCACAGGTTCTTCTATCACCTACAGCAGCGGTCGCCAGCCGGTGGTCCGCGGAGCGCAGCTGGTCCGTGAGGTCCGAAAGGTTGGCGACCGCTGAGTCCTACAGCATCTCTCACTTCTGGGGCCGCCTCTACCCAGCTGCAGCCAGCGGTTCTGGAGGAAACTGTCAATCACCATCCACAGCGCGGGGGCCAGGTGGCCAAGTGGAGCTCATCATAGTGCCCTGTGCCCTGGCCACATGATTGGTCCAGGGCTGGACACATGACCGGAGGTGGACCAATCAGACCCCTCCCTGATGCTCTGCTCATTTCCAAGCCTTAAGGATGCCAAGGGCTGGGGCAGGGGTGGCAGGGCCCTTCACCTGGAGGAGGCTGCCGAGAGAAAGCTGGCAGGAGAAGAGAATCAGAGATGACAGAAGGGACAGAGGCCCGGGGGCTGGGGGGGGGAGAGGGAGCTGGTGGGTGTTGATTTCTTGGGTGCAGCCACCGAGCTCCTCGGACCTGCTGTGGTTCTGCATCCAGGGCCCGACATCCTTCCAGTGAGCGTCCTTTCTGACTAAGCCAGCTGGAGTTGGTTCCCCGCCCTGGTGGTCCGGACTGGATTCCAGAGCCCTGCCTGACTCTGACGCACTTCCCAGGCCCAAACAGAGGCACCACTCGTATTAGTGCCATTGAAATGAGACCGTTTATTAAAAATCAATATGTTAAAAAAATCAATGTTTTTATGATTTTTAGAGGGAGAGAGAGAAACATCAATGAGAGAGAATCATCGGTGGACTGCCTATGGCATGCCCCCTCCTGGGGATCGAGCCTGCAACCCCCGGGGCATGTGCCCTGACCAGGAATCAAACCAGTGACCTCTGAGTGCGCAGGAGGAGGTTCAATCCATTGAGAATAGGGCTCGGCAAAGCCCAGACGCAGCTGTAGCCGGGTCCCCTGGGCGGGGACGCAGGGAGTGTGTGCGAGTCCTGGGGCGGGCCCGGCGGCCGCCTAGAGCAGCA